GAGCCGCCATTTTGTCAGTCCTACTCTGCACAGTCATAGTTCTTTTTTAATCGTCCTTTCGTCCGTCATTCAGTCATGAACGTATTGATCATCAAACGTGAAAGAGGAAAAAAAAAAGAGTACATGTATACGCAAAAGTCAGAATTCATCGAGAACAATTCAGCGTAGCGTTTTAATAAACAGCAAGGAAAGCGAGTCGTCGTCCCTGCTTTCCCATCAGTTTTGCACGAACGCAAGCGTGACTGCTAGTTTTGCATTCGAAGCTTTCGCTTTCAGGAACATATATATTACAAGTTATTATCGAGGCAAGAGCGGAGCCGAGTGTGTCGCGATAAATTGCTTTACGTGTTTTCTTCGGAGGTGGTACAGTAGTTTTCACTTAAGCGTCCATAGTCTGGTCCTCCTCGCAGCGGACGCTTAAGTGGGGAGGTCCTACGAATTCTGCGAATTATGCCGAAATGTCAGTATCACTCGTTTTGTATTGTGTAAGTGTCCCAATAGTCGTAATTCCAAGAATTGGCGGGAATAGCGACGGACGCTTAAACGGGGAAGCGCGGACGCTTAAGTGGGAACTACCGGAGATCTTCCAAGGCGTTCAGACGCTTGTGCCGCGCTTGAACCTGGCTCTTTCATGTAGATCGTCCATAATAGAAAGCGACATGACATTAATGGATGAACATAATAGATTAATGCTATTAATAGCAATTGTAACCAATGACCAATACGTGACGTACCAATAATAGCTTCTTTCAATATTGTTAAAAGTCACCTTTACCTTTCCGAGAAGATCTCGTTGCTGCCTAGTTTTGCGCCGGTGTTCTTGTTGTTTTGTTCCTGTTAAAAGTTAGTCGCCAACTTTTGGCACATGTGTGAAATTGTTGAGATAATTTCAATAGATTAAATTAATTTCGTAATATTAGTTTCGAATTAATAATTATCAAGAATAACTATCAATCTCACAAAATTTCGCGATAATTGAACTGCTTGTTCGAAAAATACACTGCTGTTGATTTATAGTCCCTTTTTTTTTCAATACGAGTGTCGTGTCAATTATTACAAAGGATGAGTCACCTAACTAGAAGCTGAAATATTTCGAAACGATCGATTATATCAAAAAATGTCTTAGACGAAAGTTGAACGATTTCAAAAGGAGAATTAATTGATATAATTATTAGTTTTTAAATTAAAATATCTCTC